AAATCAATGCTAATTTGAGGATGGAATATCTCCACGCTTCGCTTTTTGGCCATTCCTGGTGAAGAATTGCAGTCTGTTGAATAATTTGCCACTGTTTTGTTACTCTTCGATTTACAAGTGGCTTTTATTTTTCTTTTTGGTTATTGACGTCTGTAACGTGCTGAATGCCAGTCGACTTCAGCCGGAGATCTGCAAAGTTTTTTTTTTTTAATTTAAGGATTATTAAGACATTTTATCCCACCGCACTCGTTGTTTTCTGTTAAATCTTTTATCACTCATGCAATGCATAGAGGCGAAACAAGAATTTCTCAAAGATGCCTCTCTCAGTGTCCATTGTTGCTAAATTTTGGTCTTTTTTAATTAGACTTGGTAGTATCGCATCTTGAATTTGATTATTTGACCTGTTCATCCATTTCCAATGTGATCTCGCGTAAATATCATTAGTGAGTATCATAACTTGGTTTTAGACATTAAATTCTTGGCTTGGCGCTACCGAAAGAGTTAGAAAGTTGATGCTGGGGCTAATTAGGAACTGCTTAGACTACTTTAAGGAGATGTCTTATCTCTGGCGATGACTGGGCCGCAGCGGGGAGGCTTGCTGCATGGCTTGTCCCGCCGAGATGTTGGATAATCGCAATCCATCGGACGATCGAGGTTTGGGTCGGCTGAAATAAGCGGAACCTTCCCTACCATTCTAATTGGAACTCGGCAGTAGAGGCCTAACAAACTTAACAAACTTTTCCAGCTAGCACTGACTTTTCCACTCTTTAGTATTGTAGAGATGGATATAGGCGAATGATTGAGTTGTCATAAAAAATTATTCATAAGATCACCTTTAGCTCTACTATTTGTGCTCTCAACTCGAAGCTGTGTGTGTAATTGCCTCACTTTCACTTTCAATATTTGACTCGTTATTTATTTATTCTTGCTGCTGTGCTTCAGATCGATTTTAAGGGCTGCTTACTTCACCTCGCTTGCATTCAGTGTAGAAACTTATACCAGGCTGTCAAATTGTCACAAGGTCCCTTGCTTCCTATTCCCTATAATTTCGCTCTCGCAAGTGATGGAATATCTTTTCGTCTCTGTAGGTTCCATTACCTGAAATAATCCCTAGACTTGCGTGCGTTTGAAAATATGTATGGCTATGGAGCGCCTGGAGTGCTGAACTGCCTCACCGCGCACGCATCCAACGTACGCACATGGATGCTGGAGCAGATCCAGACAATTATGGTTCAGAGCGTCCAAGGTGGTGCCTATTATCCTTTAGTGCATTCCTCGACTCCGAAAACCGGGATATCCTTAGGGGACTTCTTGGCAGTTGCGTCCAGACGAAAAAATATTTGGCCACATTGAAAAGGGATGTCTTTCTATTCCATAAAATTACCTAACAATCAAGAGTATTATTGAAGTAGGCTTTCACTCTGAACATTCGCTGACTGATAGCTCTGATGAGCACCCAATTGTCTCGAAAGAACCTGATAGAGACGGAGCAGCAGTAATCTTTGATGAATGCTCAGCATTTGCTACCTAACCCACACGTGTAGGAATGGACTCGTAAGACGACCTCTCTCTAGCCTGACCGCGCCTACCGCTGCAACCTGGTTTCGTTGAAATGGATTGTATTCGTCGCTTACATATTCATTACTCCATCCATTTTTGTACGACGCATTTCTTGCACGAGGTGGTTCAAAGATGACTCATTTTCTGCGCCGTGAGTTGGATTGTTCACATTCATGTTTGAGGCTTAATTACAAAGTTTTATTCTTAATGAACCGAATACTCATTACTTGAAATTTTTACTAACCGTTGTGATCGTAGAATTCAGTGAATGGGTAGATTAGTGCGTTGAAACATAGGTAATTTTTTATATAATCTAAGATGGCGTTGTGTATATCTCAAATGAAAGTATTGTCGCTGCTTTATAATATAGATATAATGTGCTTTAGGTGTGTAGCACCGCAAGCTGCCCATAAACTCGAAGCTTTAGGCACTCGTATAATTTGGCATGTTACCTACCCCAAATATTGGCCCTGACTAGAAACTCTTGTTGCACTGACACTAATGAGTCCGCAACTGATACTAATGAACAATTAACCTTAATGTTCTGATTTGCTGTCCGATGTGCCTTGTAAGGCACGCGTTACTGGCCTCGGCGCTCATGCTTCAATTTCAGAACATATTTCTTCGCTTCTAGCATGATACTATATTTATTAAATTACGGAACTTTCTCTGAGTATGTTTTTGTTGCACATCTCAATTGGTGTTGAATATTGATGCGTACATCATCAGTCTCGCAAATTGAAGATATTTATGTTATCAAAATGTCAAAATTTAATATCAAACTCTTAATATCTTGTGTTAGAACTGGCGTATGTAAATTTGCGATACGATCAGAATATCAAAGAAAAATTGTTTAGCTACAACTCATCGCTATTCACACTAGTAAAACTGACAAACAAGTCGCAATACATCATCGAAAATTTGACAGTTCCGATGGAACAGAGCGCAGATCTCAGCAAGGCGATTTCATCACGTTTGAGAAGGCAAAAAGTCCAAAATGATTGTGTTATGGGATGACAGCTCCGCGTCGCGTACGGTGCTTGAGTGCAACTTTTTAGGCCTGTCCCTGTGATCTTCTTCGTTGGTTTTTATTTCACTGTGCAAGTTTTTAGTCTTTCTCTTGAGCAAGAGCTTGTTTTTCTTGGCACTTGATAAAACGCTTGCTCTTGTAGTGCATTTGGCCTTCCAGTTCATTATTTACCGCAGATGCTACGCATTCACTTTATTGCCTCTGGTTCATACGCGTCTACAAGTTTGTTAAGATTTCCTTGAATAAATAACTCAATACAACTCAAGTTAACTGGCAAATCGTGCGATATTCTGGACTCACTTGACTACCCTTGTATCGTTGAGCTCCATATGTTCGTAAGCGTTAATATGTAATTGAATGAATCGTTATCAGTTGTCGGCTAACTTGCTTAATTCCTGCTTCTGACGTGACACAACTAGCTTTCAAAGAATAATTAAAATGAATTTAACTGACTTTGTATATTCTTCTGTATTGAATACCATTATTTTATACTCCACTCGTCATGATTCAATACAATAGAGACACGGATTCTGTACACGGATGTATTTATTATCGTCAATGAGGAATTGCATAAATAACTCAGTGATATCCGATAACGCTAATTAGATGCTGAGAATGTTGCTCGAATATCCAGTTCTCATTTTTTTTGTCCGTGGCTCCTACTAAAGGTATTTTACAAGTGAGTCGAGGTCTTGAGCAACGTTCGCAAAAAAACCTGATGGTCTTTTACAGTAGCTGATTACTGATAACTCGCCTGTTGCCGCGAAGCTCATGTTCACCCGAGTGTAGAAAGACGACGATGCCATCGTTCGGTCCGACCGAGACAACAGAGCAGTTCGGTTTCAACGGACTTTGCACGTGGAACATTTACACTTATGTTGTTGTCATTGATGAACAAAGCAACATGAATTTCAGGATTTTTAATACACTTGACAGACATTCATCAGTGAAACCATCGATAGTAGATAGCCAGAACGCGCTTTACTGTCTTTTCAAACTGTTGACTTCAATATTTTATGACTAGAATCTGACTTCGTGTTGTTTATTTTCAATTATATTCCAGTCGAGCGTTGAATACATTTATTTTGTACTTTAATTTTCATCAGAATTTTTTTAGAAGCATCGCTTGAAGACGGTTAACAATAAAACAATGTGAAACGGATCTACTATCTCATTTTCAATTTAAATTCTCGGACTTGAAGTGTATGCGGGTTGTTCAAGCTCCTTTCTAGTAGAGGCTTTTATAAGCGAAATAAAAGTTGTGCCCAAGCGACGTCTTCATCATGATCGAAGGGATGCGTAATTGCATACCGTCAGGCTGTCGACTCTCTTGGGCGCCGTGTTAGTCATTTCGCCTCAAGCGAACGTTCAAAATTCCGTAATTAAATACGACTAGGGCTGCGTTTTACGGCTCTTCTTAAGCTTTTCTGTCGAAAATATTTATTTTCCGAGGCTTTTTGTTAAACTAACTGGGCTTTCGTTGACACGCTTCATCGAACACAGGGCTCGGTGGGGCGATCGCAGCTTCGGACACAACACTCGAGGCGGCGAGTGAAGTAGCTCGCCTCTCACCCACACACCACAACGCTGCCTCTATTCCTCAACTCTCGTACCGCGATCTCGTACTTTGAACATTAGTAACTTCTCCAGTGATAACATTTTTTTATCCACTTACATTTCCTAATGATATTCCCGCATTTATGTATTGTTGTTATTTGCTTGCTAATTTTTTTACTGAAAAATTTCCACCATAAAACGATTTTCCAAATTTTGTGATTAATCAATTCGAGTAATCTTGTCAAAATGAGCGTGGATGGAAAAGTAAATTATTTAGCCAGTGAAGCTACGAGCGTTTAAATTAAGATCGATGGCAACAAAAAAGTATTGGAGTTGAAGAATATTTTCACGCATCAGAACAACACATTTAAAAAATTAAAACTGACCATTGTCTGATTAAATTAATCCACAATCTCTATTCTTATTCCGGAATTGAAACCAATTCGTCATGTTTAGTAGAGCTACGTACTATTCTACTATTCTTTTCGACATGCTGATATTTATAAACCTTCTAGGTGAACAATCGCCAATCATTTAGTCACTCGCCTTAACAATTTATTCCCGGTGTTTAATTTAAAATAAGAATTTTCAACGTAACTCGGTGAGAATATAATCCTTGATACGCATTCCTTCTGTACCTGCCCATATTGTCTCATGAAAGCTTCGGTGTTTCTGTTATGTAACTGTGACGTGTACATACCTGTAATATGGTGTTTTCATATTTACCCTCTCATAAATTCAAAAATGTATTTTAAATAACATAACGCACGCATGTGGAATTTCCTGTGCCTTAAATGCAACTAACATGTAAGAAATGCTAACCTACAGCTCTCTTCGTCTCATTTCCTTTCAGTTCGGAACTTCCAAATTAGCTATTCGCGGCCACCTAACTCATGTAAGTAAAGCAGCAACGCTGGGACCGCAAGTCTCGAGCAATGCTTCCGCACTCACCGCACTTGCAACTACGAGTTTGGACAAATTCGGGCACATTTTGAACTTTATACGCGAAGCTTTGTGTATTATCTTTGCTCTTGTGATGCTTTTCAACAGTTATGACTTATAATTTCAGACTTCAATTCAAGAGGTTTCAAGTGAGTTCCAAAATGTGATCCAAGTTTTTCCAAACCCTTCAACAAATGCTTTTTTCTAAACAGAAATTAGAAGAAAATTAATAAAAATACACTATGAATGTGTCGCACTTTTATCATATGTACATTTACTCACAATTTTATGTGTAAATATTGATTTCTGTTTCTTCGTAGTAATTTTTCTATTATTACGTGAACGCTTTTCAAAAATTTAGCCATGCCTCTGATACCTCGTGCATGATTAATTTAGTTGCACTTTTTTGGGTTTGGTGTGAAACAGGTTCTTCTGTTTGTTTATTACTAGCGGTCCTTTCTTCATTTTTATAATAAATACAATTTCTAAATGTATATCGACTAATTTTTTGCTTCCGTCTGCATTCTTTCTTCTAAATGCCTAAATATTATCAACAGTTGTATTCTTGTACCGGCTGTAGGCCTCGACCATGATTCAACAGAGTTAGCTTTTATTTTCCATAGAAAAATGGCAGCTCGTGCCTTCTTTTTAACCTCCGAACTAAAGTATCGACTTAAAGCTCTCACGCGCCATATAACTCAATAACAAAAATCTTTCCAGCATTCAGCCAACCACGCTGACCAGCCTTGCCTCTATCTGTACTATTCCTTGTACGCTAACACTTAATTCGATTTGAAAGGATCCCGCTGGGATGTATGCATTTAATATTACATCGAGAGGTTGGTAAGAATAGAGAAAGAAGCAGATGTGGTCTAGACTTTCGTGCTCGTTCGCCAGATTTTGCGAAGATTCTTGAATGGAACAAATGCCTGCTACTGTGCACGGAGCTAATCTCGTTTGGTGTGGTTTAGGTTTTAGGATAAAGTTTCTTCTTCGGTAGACGTCGTGGTTTTTTAGACCTATGCATACTCTGTAGCCTTGTCCTCTTTTAACTTGACATTTTTTATTAAAATTGTACCCGACACCGTTAGATGGCCTACTCGCACTTTCCCATCAGACAGCGAGGTTTTTGGGCTCTCACGAAAAGTATTTCATAAAATAATTCGATTATACCGTAATTAACAAATTGTTTGCTTTTTTTGTTCTTTACGGGTTAGGAAGGAAACTTATCACTATATGAACCGTTACAGGAGAAGTGAAAATGCTTTGTACAATTTTTATCCTGCAATACTAGCCAATAATCGAATAATCCTGTTAGTGGGATAAAGGATATCCGCTTAAACATTAAAAATTCCTTCTAATCCGAGAATAATGGAATAAGTTGGACGCCTAAAAGTCTTGGCCACGCATAAATTGCTTTAGGATTGTGCCGCGCCTCCCACGTGCATGATCAGCAACCTTCTTATTGATGGTAGGAGGCTCACTTCTTTGACATCCACCCTCGCATTGTCATCGATATTTTAGCTCCATTTAACTGCAGTTTCCAGGCATTTTCAGTCTATTATCTCCATTGTTGCTGGGTCTATAGAGTCGCGCGACAGGAAAGCCGAAACAGCGCCTGACACGCGCCTCGCCTGTAAAAGAAAACGTCCTCCTCTTCTACCAAATTCTCCAACGCTAATTTGATGCCCGAAGATATATTACTTAAAAAATTAAATTAAAGTCATATAATTCAAATCCACAGTGGCGGTGTAATCTAATTCACTTTTTGTTTTCACAATTCAAAACTACCGTTGCGGTGCCATCTAATTCACTTGTTGTTTTCCTAATTCATATGCACTCCAGCGAGGGAAAATCGTTCTTACTTGAAGTTCAGTAAACTTTGTTTTTATTAGAAAACATTCGAGTGAAGATATCAAGATAAACATTTTCTACCAGTCGTATGCTCGGTAAAAATCTCGTTTTAATTTATTTTAAGGAAGTAAGACGAAGTGAGTAGGCACCACGTAGATTGAAGTACTCACTCACAAGTGCCCTTGCGATTCAAGTTAAGTTGCGCTTGAATTAACATCTTGATTAAATGACATTAACTCTGGGTTTGGTTCACTGCCTCGTAGCTCAAGGGCCTGTGACAGAGCAGCATCATTTGTCTGTGGTTATAGAAGAGCCCAATTAATGTCGTCTTGCTAAGTAACGGTGGTTGATTAGAGCAGCTGCTAAGCTCGTGGCCAGTCCTCATCATTGGCAGGATATTTACGGGCTACTCGAGATACGTGCAATTCAATCGGGCTTCTGATTCCTTGACAACATGTAAAACATTCGAAAAAGAGCATCACTGTGCATAGCTAAGTGGAGATCGTGATGAATGTATGTTTTTCATTATGCTCAAGGCTTTCTTTTTACGTAAAAATTTGTCCCGCATGAAGATTGCTGTCGTTTGAGTTTGCATGCTGCAATATAAATGTAATGATTAACAAGTTGCTATTGATCTCGGCACATAAATGTTCGTGCTGCATGGAAGCAATTTGGAGACTTCCATTATTATTATGCTGAATGTTTCTCGACTTTTTCTCATTGTAAGTCAAAAAATTTAGTTGGTATTGGTAGACGAGCACTCTCAGTTTTGCATGACCAGACATTGCCATGATATTTTCTCGCAATTTTTTATATGATTTGCATTAAGCTCGCCATTTTGATACTCATTTGAGAATTATTTTATTTGCATGATGGCCTGGAAGACATTCCTATCACCCAGCTGATTATTTTATAAAATAATTTTTTTTAGTTCTTTAGAGGTTTTTCATTTCAGTAAAGCGGTAAGTACAGTATTGTGGAGTGACGTAGGCGTTATTTATGCAAGTGTTCCTTCAGTTCCGTAGTTTTTTTGTAAACAATAATCTTTCTATTTTATTTCTTACAATGAATGCCTTATATTTGTCGTTTGTTGCGACTAAGCACATTACTTTTTATTGCTTATAACCTCGATTGAGTTACTGAGCAGCATGCATCAGTATCTTAGAGTTACATATACATTGAAGTTATTTTACAAACAATGGCCACGTTACTAAAATTTTTGTTGTTCTGTTAGTTGCTGTTTTTATTATTTTGGCTTATGAATTTTTCGTTGTTCTCCGTTTCTTAGGGCCCCCGGCTTTGCTTCAAGCAACCACTTCTCATTTGAACCAGAGTGAGTTTTTATATTAATGCTTTACTAACTTTAACAAGACGCATCCATTCTTATAATTGGCTGGGCTATATCCTAATTATAACTGATTTTCTCCACTAATTCCACGCAAACCAACAAATCATATTTTCTCATGAACTTTATCTCAACGAGTTGAGTTCTCATTCAACTAAATCAGCACAAGACTAATCGCCATTAACGATTTTCAACATCGCCCTTTACACTCTTATTTTACCATCATCGATCTCCACAGTCTCTTTTTGCTCTAATTTTACAGGAATACCTAGCATTTAAATTGGATAAAATTTAAAATTCGGTGGTTGAGGTGATTTTTTTGGGAAATTCTCGTCTAAATTGATTTTATCATAATTTGCCAGTTTATTTATACATTTATATCTGTTTATTTTTTCTTGCTTAATAAACCCTAATTATTTATTTAGTTGCATGCCTTTTGCAATTAAACTTTTTTATGAAAGTATAAATAAGCAATTTTTGTACCGTGAAATCCAATATTGTGATAATTATTTACGTTTTTGAATATGCATGCTATTTATTATTTAGCTATGAGCTACTCCCTGAAATTCATATCTGTCAAAACTTTCCTCTTCTTAACTCATACTAAAGGATAATTAACAAATGTCTAACGGATAATTCTGAAAAATGTCCTACTGTCTTTATATTAAGAATAGACATTTAATAGGAAGTTAGCATTTACTCGAATTCTGGAGCATTTAACACAAATTGCAGGCATGCCTTGGATTAATTTCTCAGGTCCGCCTAATGCGCTGGACGATCGGTTGGACCATCGCAACGGCAACCCGCCATCGAACAACCAAAACCACAACAACGGTGCCATGAACGCTGCCAACGGCAACAACGGCGGCAACGGTGGAGTGTTGGGCGACTTGTCGCTGAGTCAGCACATGGCGCCCTCGAGTGCTCTCTACCCTCGCAGCAACGGCTCCGCGGCCTCTACGTCGCCCCCAACCGTGTCTACGCCGTCTATGCTAATCGTACCGCAACCCATCAACGCTGTCAAGATGCCTACGTCGCCTACAGGACATTTGCACAACCAGGCCAACGGCGGCAACGGCGTCAGGAAATATCAGTGCAAGATGTGTCCTCAGGTAAGAGTCTGATTACGTTTTGTTTTAATGATATTCTGAACTGAAACGTTATGCTTAGTCTCAAAAAATTTTCAATATTCGCCAGACATATTTCAGTAAAAATTATTTTTTACAATTATTTTTCGGATTCTTATTAATTTTACTTCACTGAAAATAATGTTGTGTTCCTACTGAGTAATCGGGATTAATCTGAAATATATTTAACAAAGGTCAGTTTACTAATGAAAAAAAAATAATTGTTTTAGGGCATATTAGCCCCTTTTATTACATGTTTTTCCATATGGAAAGTTTCATGGATTGTTGAATAATGCTATGATATTGAATTAAAGTGATTTTAAAATTAATATACCATTGTGATTTAAATGAAATAACATGTCAAGAGACATGCGCTGACATCAGCAGGTGAGGAATGTTTACGTTTACTCCATTCTTATTGTCCTAATTACCTTGAATGAACTAATATTTTTGCTCGCAATAATAGACCAGGGGTTTCTGATTATCGTTCTCAGGTCAATCGTGAGGTTATTTACGAAAAGATATTGTTCAACGTGACTTGTTTATTCTTATTGTCCTAATTACCTTGAATGAACTAATATTTTTGCTCGCAATAATAGACCAGGGGTTTCTGCTTATCGTTCTCAGGTCAATCGTGAGGTTATTTACAAAAAGATATTGTTGAACGTGATTTGTTTATTGAATAATTTAAGAACCATGAAAACTTAGCTCTGAACTTGGACTGCATGGATTCATCCACTTTTTGCGAAATATCTCATCTAATTTTCGGTTGAGTTGATGATACTCCGTTGATCATTTTGGTTTCGCGCCTATTTTCCTACCTCGGCCCCAACGTCTTGGTTTTCTTAAAAAAAAACAATGTTGTCGACGAGCAATCGAGTTTCGCCCTTCATGTTTCGTATCACTCATCGTCGACTCCAATCCCATCACAGAGAACCTGTTTGTGCGAACCCATCCAGATAAATATAGAGGATATCACTCATCTCGCATTTCGAATTGGTTCATTTTAGATGTGTTGCGACTCGTTAGCATTTATCCGCGTTATCGACTTGAAACTTCCTAACTCACTCCAGAGATTGAAGTCGGTTTATAAATGCCGGTTATAAGGGATCACGTCGAAATCTTTGCATTGACGTTATCTGAGAATGAAAGTTCATCTCTCTGCAGAGAGAACCGAGTCACTTAACCTGATGGGAATATCGTAATTGTCCCGACTGCTCCCTAGACTACGATGCTTTCGGGCGTGTTTGTTGACGATAAAAATATATGATAAAACTGAGGAGTTTCCGTGCTCGAGGCAGCGCAACCAGTTTGCTTCTCAAGCAGCGCGAATTGTTGCATTCATTTTCTCTGGATCAGTTGAGTCCGTATCTGCAGGTACCTATGAGCTTTACTAGCAAACTTATTTCCTTTTATTATACGCCCCTGCAGCATTTTTACCTTACCACCTATAACACACCTCGTCCCAACCTACCAACAGTCGAGTGTTTCACAGATACGCAGCTACTAAACCTCTCGAACCGATCACCGCTCCACTCTATAGACATGGGCATTAACTTTGTGATGCGAGAGAACATTTGGTCGAGATAGCTGGTCGCATTTACGACTGTCTTTTTATGCTTTCCGCGGTATCCTCCTTACCAGGTAATATTGAAGGCGAAAATCTCGTTCGTTGTCATATTGAGTATGTACGAGAAGGAATTTCTGATTTAATGCTAATTTTGAGTATCCTAGAGCATTAAAGATCCTTAGAAAATACGAAGGTAAATCCCTCTTGATCGCTTCTTATGAGTGAAAACTTATTTCTCGAGATGTGTTCATACCAAAAATTCTAATCGTATCACTGAAAAAAGATAACCTGTGTTTAGCTTGCAATATATATTATCATTATTATTTGCGTCGTTCAGTTGCTTCTTTGAAAAATATTTATTTGACCTCGAAAATAATTCAACTAATTTATTTTGAAATTTCAAATGTGAGGCACCAATCGCTAGCGTGAAAAATGAGTTTACCCTAATCCTAACGCTTTGTACTACTGTTGATTTGCTTCAAAAATCTCAATTTCGTCACCGAAACTCAGCTGTCAGTGATGAGTCTCACGGGACAGGCTCAGACATGCCTCCTGTCGAACAATTCCAGTTGATAGATGATGAGGTGAGCCTAAGGACTCGCATGGACTCCCTGAGGGACACATCTGCAGTCCCACTAGGGAACTGGTAGTCATTAATTGTCAGCCCAAGTGGCGACGTTTTGCCCCGTCACCTCCACTGATTTAACTTCCGTTTTGCCCCCACATGCTGGGCTGTGCGATGAACTCGTCTGTTTAAATTAGGTGACCGTCCGTGAAAATGTCGGCCGCTTATTTTTGTGCGATACCTGAGCTGTTTACACGTCCCATAATTATCGTGAAAATGTCTAGAATACCTTAATCGTGAAGTTATTCTTAGAGTAACTACTATTTAGCTCTAGTCACGCCTGTCTGAAGACGATAACTAAGCTTTGTTACTTTAATTATCAATCGCTGACTTTTAGACGCATTTTTCCTCTGGTATCCTAGAATATTTTGTTATGTGGCGAAAATACGGCCATATTTTGGTGCTCCTAAGTTTATTGCGTAGTTAATTTCATATGCATGCCTAAATGCCGCATAATGAGATTCTCTTCTATCATAATAATGACGAACGCATTCAGTCGCTCATGCTCCTTTTAATCAAAATAACAATACTACAATATACAAACACCATTCCCGCCATGACTCACGATCTATGAGGCTGCTACGATACCACACAAGCACCACCTTAGAATCTGTTTTTGTAGATCATACAAAGCCACAATTATTTTCTTCTCCCCAAATTTTGTTTATTTATTCTTTTCCGAGCTAGAGCTCTAGCTCTGAGTTTCTTGTCTGAAGAACCAAATTCAACTCGACCAGTGGCTTGCTGTTCTGATGTTTAACAATCGCTTCTACAAAATACCCATCGTTGTCTGCATAAGTAATGAGACGTATGCAAATTTCAAGGCGGGAGTTGCCTTGATCTGAAACAAGTGATCCCTTTCTTTTTCATTGAACTTGCGGTGACATATATGATATATCTTGTAGCATTAGATCTTGTATCAGTCTAATAACGCAATTTAAATTTCAGAATAAGAACGATTATTTTGTTTTTTTTTAACTCGCACAATTTTTACATTGTCATGCGTAAAATTTACCAGTCGAAATTCACCAGCTCCCAAAAGTTACGTAGACAAGATGATTACCATTATGATAGTTTTAACGAGTAATATCTAAAGAAATTATTTAGTTTATTTCAATTTAGGAGCATATTTTCGATACTAGCGCATATAATTGCTGGTAAATTTAATATATGCCGCTTACGTTCATGTATTTTAAATTTCAAAGTGCGAACGGCAGGTTGCCCAAGTGCACATCAAAACATAACTTTGAGCAGGTTGCTGACGAGGGTGAATGGTTTATCTTGGTTCGATGGCGCCTTTCGTTTCACAACCTGTTTTGATAAGAATATTTGACTTACAGTTATAGTGCCCCCATATGAAAGGAATGTCGCATGTGCTGTTTGGTGTCAATTTATGAGAAAGTGATGGTGAGTGCAAAACTTTCGCGTTCCGATGTATACTTGAGTAGAGCTACGGGATGAGTGCAGTGAACAAAGGAGCTGATGTCGGACAATTGACCCCTTGCAGGCTTGGACAAAACTTGGTCAGATAAGATCGATACTTCTTTAGCTGGCCGCTGCTCCCGATCAAATGATAGGCTTCCACCATAGCCGGCACTTTCTGAAAACAAAGCCAGTCTGGTTGTGCTCAACTCGAGCCCTTCCCCATGGCTGAACTTCGCCTCCAGTTTATGCGTTGCCTGTCAATCTCGCCAAATCTAGGAAATTATAGGCCGACGTCTGTGTAAATTGTTATGCAGCATTGGTCAACACGAAGCACTCTCTTGGCTCCAAAATGGATTTTAGTCTCTACTGCTTGTTCGCTTATTTGATTACGAGCTTCAGAAATTGCAGAATTGATAACAAGTATTGGAAAAGGTTTTATGGTCCCAGATATCGGTTATTATCTAGCAGCACAAGTATTTAAGTTAACGAAATACGAAGCCTCGAAAAAACGGTATGAAATCCGGTACAAGCCCTGTCGGAGTTGAAAATTATCCGCCTGTATTCATTTGCGTTCAATTTGCATCTGTTCAAGTGTCCATCAATGTGAATTTCATCAATAGTTTAGGATAGTTACAAGCGATTATGACAGTTGATATCGAAGCAATTTACTTCCATAAGCAAAAAATTAAGTATTGTTGAATTTTTAAGATCTTGAATTTTTTCGCAGACAAAAAAAAATAATGAAAATGAACTATCCAAGTAGATTAATAATTCTTTAAATAATTGCAATGGCGGAGGTAATTTTCTGAGAGGAATTTTTAAAACTATCGATGTTGGTATTTACACGTTCGCGACGCTGTTTAATGTGAAATTCGCAATCATAAAAAGCAAGATTTTAGCCTGCTAGGAGTCCTTAGCTGTCATCTTTTTGACGAGTTTTGCGTACTTATTTATTTTGAGTGACATTATTTTTTAAAACTCTAAAATGACAATAATACTTCAATTAATTCATTCAGCAAGGCAAGACGATGGAGGTGAAACAATGGGGCTTTAATAGCGGTATTAAATTATATACTAGAACCAGTTATAGCTAAATTGATATCCTCCTTCGCAATAAAATTATACCTCATTTACGATAATGTCGCGACACGAAAAATCTAAAAGCGCCAGTGTTTATTTGCGTGACAAAATCTCGTCTGGAGTGATTTTGTGAGCCGTGCTTCATGTGTAACTAGCGACTCCTATAATTGCACACTTCAGCGACTGTAACGCATGGCGAGTAATGATCTACTTCGTAATGGTATTCCTACGGGACTGTACTGCTGAATTTATTTTATACTTGGTTCACTTGTCAAGTTCTACTGA